GTATAGAGAGAGAGAGACAATGATGTGAGTGTGAGATGGAGTTTGGGTTTTAGAGAGAGATGGAGTTTTGAGAGAGAGAGAGACGATGATGTGAGAGAGAGATGGAGTTTTAGAGAGAGAGAGATAGAGTCATTTCATAAGTTGTTGAGGTCACCAATACATGGTCAAAAGGGTTTAGGGGGCTGGAAGATAGAAAAGATGGAGTCCTTTTGCTTACAAGTAATATTTTCAATTATTGGGTCTAATGAGATATAGAAGTTAAAAATAAGGGATAATAGGATATTTTCCCTAATTTTATTTATATGATAGCTCTAGATCTGGTTTGTTTCGTAAAAATATTCTAGATCTACATAGATCCAAGGTTCATTTCATATAGCTCTGGTTTTCGTTTGTCAATCGACAACTAGATCATCTATTTTTCTTTGAATATCTATTTTTTAAAATATATGAAAAAATTATGTAACAAATAAGAAAAATGTCATGCTTAAAATTTTTTAGCATGGAATATATTGGCAAACATTTTTCTTTTTTTTTTGTAAAGTCATTGATGCCCCCCACTTTGCTACTGATTTCTTAAAAGTCCCTCTTGATTTTTAGGAATTATTCCTTAATTTTTTGTACTTTATTCCATATTTCCCATTTCTTCCTTTTATTAGGTAACAAAGTGCTTTTTTGTTTTTGTCTTTGCATGTCTGATGCATTTAGGGATGCGATTCCCCATCCAAACGCGTTCCATTTGTTTGCAAATAACCCCATTTTTTATAAGAAACCTGAAAATAATGTAGGGCCTCTACTCTCATTTGCCTAGAGCTTCTCATGTAGGTTCAGGTTCCAAGATGTCCTCAGTCACTTGTTGCTTAGTTGCCACTATACTTGCTAGAGCTTTCAAACTTGTCAAAGGGGAAAATAGATCATCTTTGGGAGTATGAGGTGGGGGTATTTGGAGGCTAGGGTGAGATATGTTTTTTGTGCAAAGGAGTTGAGAGGCAGTATTAAGTATTCACCTCTTGGGACATCACGTGGTGAGGGGGGTGATGTTGCACCCTGTGATAACTCACTTGCGAACCTAAGTGAAGAAATGATTGAGGAGGTTGGGAACAAGAACCTACTCAAGACAAGGAAAATAACGAGATGAAGGCCCAACGTGAGCATGGTAGGAGGTAAGTTTAGAGAATATGTACCATGAGCAGAGCGGTCTGTGGAGGTTCAGGGGTGGGAGGTCGTCAAGGATTAGCTATACTCCCTTTGTTGATGACAGATTGTTTGGGTCTTTGGGCAAGATGGAGAGGGATGGAGAACAAGCAGCACAGTCTAGACAACCTCCTCAGACCACTCAACCCAACAAACACATGCAGCCTACCTGGAGTTGAACCAACCCATTCCAGTTGAATTTACATTCAGAGCAGAAGAACATCAAATCCAGTTACATTAAATTAATAAGGAAGCCCATGATGAAGGGGATTGCCTAGTTCTTTTTTTATGTTGTCATGTCTTTCAATGCAGCGAAAGTGAGTATAATGTGCCCAGGATATCCACTATAGATAATGAATGGCCTAGATCTAAGCCCCAACTGCATATGACTTGACTGGGCGCCACTTGGATGAAGACTTTTGCGTTTCTATTTAACTGTGAGTTGTAACTCCAGCAGTCAGCTTTATGTTCTATGTCCTAGTACTCATGGTCTCATGGACACATCGGACTCCTTTTTCATTGACCTGTTGGCTGTGATTTGTATGTTCTGACTTTGGAGACATTTGTTGGATTCGTCTTTGAAGTTTGAATGTATATTTATAGTTTGGTATGCCTCTATGAATGTGATATTGCTTAGTTCTAGCATTTATACCACATTTGCACTATTTTGTTTTAAAAACTGTTAATGATGATTCAATTGAACCATTGAATGTATGCCAAAAAGTGAAACAAGCAAAAACTGTTTATAGCCCTTAGTATCTATAAGTTTTCATTTTTTTTCCTCCATATAAATAGGTTTTATTTGCTTTTTTTTATTCTCCACAAGTTTTCCTTGTTTGACAATTTTTTCCTTTTTTTTCTTTTTTTGGGAGGTTCATGCAGACTGGTTGAGTCAACTGAGACCAGGCCCTGCAGAGTTCTGTACCCAGTTCTGGTTTTAAAACACTGATCTCACAATTCAGTAGCCAGATACTAGCAAGTAACCTATGTATGCTAGGTTGACAGAATGACCCTAAAGATTTAGGCCCTATTTGGACGCACTTGTATTTCAATTCGGGAACAGGATCATTTACAAACAGGTACATTTCTGGACCCCATTTGGATGCTCCTGTACCTTTATTTATTTATTTATATGCTCCTGTACCTTTATTTATTTATTTACTTTCAGATAAGAGGGGAATGAAAGAGAGACAGCTCAGACCATGAATAGTGGAATGGACTAAACGTCGCCATTATATTCATTAATGGGTGGGCACGGAAATGAGACTCTTTCCAGATAAGCGATCTGTTCAAACCAGTGTTTTAAAATCCATAAGGGGCTTCTGGATAGGACACTTGCTAAATCGATCTGGATCACCGATCTAAGCCAGACTGAGCTGATTCTTCGGTGTAGGAATCGGTCCCCAAAAATTGTAAATATCACTTTAAAATTAAAAATTAAAAATTAAAAAAAATAAAATAGGTGGGGACCTGGGTGATTCGTATGATTCGGATCACCCGGTTCTCTGACAGAACCACATGAATACCAATAAAAATAGACTAATTCCTGGTTCCATCAAGGAATCGGGTTGGTTCCCACCGATTCTTGATCTAGATCACCAGAAAGGCATAGAAACGTAGTTAGCCAGGGTTCAAAAGTTGAGAAGCTTCCTATGGCTGCATCATATACCTATATACACTATTAATGTTTCAAGAGCAATAAGCAGCAAGGAAGCCACATGATATTATCTACACTAATATATTTGACATCAGAGACAAAGAAATTGATTGCATTGGCACATATCAAAATAAAATAGGATTATATAACATATATGGTAATTAGTCACCGTGACAATTAGCAAGAACAAATCTACTCAGAAATATTAGTTACTCTTATTGAACTGGCCATAAGTGATACAAGGGTGCTTCTACAAAACACCATTATAATGGTGATGAATAATGTAAGAAAACTCTACTCCAAAAATTTTGAATGTGAATGCCCCCAAGTTTTATTATTCCTAATTTTAGGGGAGAGGCGATAGACATATTTTTATACTCTATGCAAATAAAGCTTGAATTTCAAATGACTAACCCTTGATTTTCTCCTACTATCAAGAAGGGGTTTGCAAATTACCTCTAATAGCTGTATTTTCAAAATAAGAGCAAAACCAAAAAAAGGGTATTTTATGATCCAAATTTGAGAGTAGGGTTTTCTAACAACACCATTCTCTAATGGTGTATTGTAGAAACGTCCATGATAAAATTCTCTTTCCTGTGAAAATTCTACCAAAAAAATGTGTATAGATGTCTACTACATCGCAGCTTCCTCAGCACATTGAATGCCTGCATGGCCTTCAGTTCTCTCTTTCCATAGGTCTTCTTGGTCCATTTAGTCCCAGAAAAGAACCCCGACGTTTGCTACATCCCTACCTATTCCTAAAACAAAAGAAGTACAAAGCGTCTCATAATTTTCATATAAAAATTCAAGATCCATGCCACGACATTGCATACCCTTTACTCAGGGTATTTCTCTAGTACAGTTTAGCAATTAGCATGGACACCCTTATTCATGGATGTAAATAATTATGACTTTCAATAGTGCAATTGGACGAGAAGAATCAATTGTTCCAAGCTAAAAAAAAAAAACCTCTTCAGCAATTTCAGCATTTAGACATCAAAGATTCTTTACGTCACCAATCATTGAAAAATAAAATAATGCATTCGAAGATTTCATCCAATAAAGGTCATAAATAGGTCCCTTCCATTGGATTTGGCATCCTCCTATGCTAATGAATGACCGACCCACAAAGGGGGGAAAAAAGAAAAAAACTATTCTCACATTCTCACAAGAACCTAAGGGCACCTGATAAATGCATAGTGATCTGATTCATCTCCACAGCAAACAACATTCCAACAAAATTTCTTGAAATTAATAGCATCTTTTAATCCATTAAATTACTCATTCAGGCATGCCGTTTTCTGGAATAATAACTTGTGACAGAGGCTGTTCATTGTTTGATTTGAACATACTGCACAAAAACCTTCAATCCATGGATCTATTTTTAATATGATACAATTCTTGTGATGAATCCTATCTGCAAAATGCATCAAAGGCAAAGGCATCCCTCATATACCCAAATCCAAACTCACTACATACTTCATATCTTTATCAAGCTAGTAAAGAGCCGAAAAGAAACCCTAGTTACTCCAGTAATCACCATTAAAAACACTAATTATTGATCTCTTGCAAGAACCTCATAAGAAACTTAAAAAATGAAGTGGTGAAACTAAGTCTCTGCAAGAAAAGTACACTCCTGCAAAATTTATTAAAATATGACAAGATCTTTAATCCATTCAATTGCTTTTTCAGGAATTTCTAACATTATACGGACATGTTTGGAGTTTGGATTTTGACATATCAAAGAAAGCTGCAATTACATGAATGAAAGCTCCGCTCATATGTTTTCCACTGAAACCTTTGAATCTATGGATAGCTTTACTCATCTCAGGTTCATAAAATACACAAAAACAATCGAAAGTATTATATCCAATAACATCTCCAATCCTGACCAAATACAGTACTGTAAGCACATCATTATTTTGTCTACACCAAAAAACCAAAAGAAACCTTAATACTTGCAACAATTCTCCTTAAATGGACGATAAATGACAATGATATGGACATATTCAATTATGCATCATCCCATGTTTTCTATAATTCAGAACCGTAATTCTTGCATCAATTGTACTCAAATGAAAGATAAGAAAGAACAAGTTCAACGCATTCAAGCAAGCATCCTCCTAAAATTTCATAAAAAAACTAAACTCCATGTCAAGATTCCATAAATAATGGACCAAACATGCCGGACCAAACATGCCAAAACACAACAAAAGAGATAATGACGATTCGATCTCAGAGAAAGCATACTTTAAAATGAGTCAAATAAATAAATTACAGAGGCTACAATCAAGGAGGAGGGATAGAACTAACCTCCGGTTCTGAAGAACAAGACACAGAAGAACACATGAGCTTCTGAGAAACATGAATTGAGAGCCTGTGAATTTTTTTAGAAGTGAATAAATGAATCACAGGCCTCTCAAAAGCTCTGAAACCGTGGCCCGTGCTCCATGGCCTGGAAACCCTGCAACCTACCCAAAACACCTTGGTGGAACTCCTTGTTAGGGTTCCCATTTCCAAACCACTGCTGGACTTGCTCTATTGAGTGAGAGAGCCCAGCTCCAGAATGGGAGACGGTTTAAATTCTCGAGATGGAGAGAGAGAGAGTTGCTTTTTAGAGAGAGAGAGAGAGAGAGAGAGCTGGTTTAGATTCTAGAGTAAGGCAGCTGAGAGAGAGAGTGTGCGTGTGAGAGAGCGCCTGGGCTTGGAGTGAGGGCCCATGGGATAGTGTAGAGAGAGAAACAGAGCTGAACGATAAAAGAGAGAGAAACAGAGCTGAACGATAAAAGAGAGAGAAACAGATGAGAATTATAACAGCATGCCACGATGGTTTCCCTAGAGTCTAGAGAGAGAGAGAGAGCTGACAAAAATACAAGCATGTGATTGGAAGGTTTCTAGAGAGAGAGGGTGAGTGGTTAGAGGAAGAAAAGTCTCGTGAACGTTTTAGAGGGAGTGGTTTTTTAGAGAGAGAAAGAGACAGGGTTTACGACAATTGAGGAAAAGGGTTTTGTTTATCCTTCTATTCACGAGTCCCAGAGGCTAGAAAAGCGGGCTCGCTTTTACAATGACAAAATGACTAAAACTACCTTGATCATTTAACAAACTGACCAAATACCCTGACTACTTATAAATATGCGCTTAGTAACGTTTCTACTGTGGATTCACAGCATCCATACTGGCAGATGTGAATAAATGATTCGTGGCAGCATCGTGACCATCGTGTTTTGACATTCGACGGTTCGGATAGTGTATAGGTATAGTGGAAACCTTTGCGTTACTTGTTGAATACATTTCTTTTTGATAAATTGAATTTTTTTTGTGTAATGTGATTTATATGGTTGTGAAAAAAGACTTAATAGAAAAGGGTCTTGGGTTATGTTGTAGCACTCTCACATCCTGGTCACCGTATTATGGTTTTTATTCTCACCGATATTATTTTATTAATATTTTCAAAAAACTAACTCTAAAACTATTTGAAAAAAAAGAAGTAAAAGCACATCTTCCTTACCAAATTATCCTCGCCTCCCCAAAAAAAGACCTTATAGATATCAACGTCTATCAAAATATTGGATGATGATGGAAGAGAGTGGGTCCCATTATACTATTTCACGGTCTATCGAATGATTGTTTTTGGACTCAATGACTATCGAGCCTAAATAATTTAGGTGAATTCGAGTTAGGCTCATTGAGTTTTTAGTCACTAATCTTATATATTATATATTTTAAATTATTATTTTTATTTTTATATATTTTAAAACATAATAAAGCTATTCAAATGACAATAAAATTGTTTTTGATTGAAACAAATCCATCATCTATTTAACAGCCGTCCAATCGTAACCAGCACACCCTCTAACTTGAAAAGGCAAAACAGTCATCATCAACCAAACCAAAAAGAGGGTTTCTTGTCCTTTGGAATAAAAGTTGGGGGTTAAATAGCCGCTATCGCTTTTGTGTTGCTCGCGGCATCGTTTCCCGCCATGCATATTCGGATTTGAATGAAGGAAAAATTTTAAGGCCACATATTTTGGATTTGAATAAACAGAAAAAAAAAGAGTTAAATATGTTTTTGGGTTCGAATAAATTCAGAAATTATGGAATTTTATATATGGGCTGCTTAATTTAGACATGAAATTTATGTATTCAAAACATAATTAAATAAGAAAAATTGTTTCACGTGGCTTGGACCGTATTCCTACATATGCGGTCAAAAAAGTGTAAAGCATCCATCTTAAAGATGGATACAAGTAGGTGTTCCATCTAAAAACAATAAAAATTAACATTCCAAATGTTTTCTTACTTAATTATTTTTTATAATATTTTAAATTTATTTATTTTTTCATTTTCATATTCATGATCTCCATATTAAAAATTATATGTCTTTAAAAATTAAGTCCTAAAATCCATCTCTAAAATAGATTTATTAAGAGATACGCATTTTGACATATGCGGGCTTGGCTGCATAGAAACCGGGTCCATTAAACAAAAGGCGTGTATACTATGCTTCCTTAGAGCAATACTGTGCTCGGGCAAAATAGACTTGGGATATTTTCTTATTTGAAATTTTAGATCCATGTAACTATTACTAGATGATTATTTTCAAAATAGACGATTTAGATTTTAAGTTCATGAACATTCAAGATCATTGCATCCAAATTTTTTATGGCTCTAGTCCAATCTTTAGATGACATTTTATTAGGGCAAGCTTTCTATGCTTCCCCTACAACATAAACTTTATGTGCTTCCCCTTATCCAACTGTCTATTATGAATGGAGGGCTAAGATTGCCCCAATCACAATGTCACGTCTCTATACTATTTTATTTTTATTTTTTATATAAAATATTTTGACACCAAAATTTGAGCATCCAATCCTCTATTAAAATCGTACATGTAAAAAATATAAAAAAATATTACCAATAAAATAAAATGACCAAGTACCCCTAAAAGTTTCAAGGGGTATTTTGGTTATTATATTGTATCAAAAAATTAATTTTAATATTTTTTATAGATGCAACCCAATGAGAAGATGATACATACCAAATTTCATATTCATACAATTTGTATTAAAAAATTTTAAAATAAAATATTTTAAGGTGTCAGATCTAAGATCAAATGGTGAATGACTCACTTGATCAAACATAGATCTTCTATGATGCAAAGGAAGTATAGAAACATTTTCTTTTTACTGAAGCACATAGAGAGTGAGCGTTTGGATTTTTTTTTTCTTTCTTTTGAGTTACGTTGGTTCTAATGAGTGGTGCCCCTCACGACTTTAGTCGGTTTCGAGATATTTTAAATAACTGAAATAGTTTTTTGTGTGTTATGTGCAAATGGTGTGGAAACTGTATTCTAGTGTAAATTTGTTGCATCATACACTTGCCAAGTAAATACTTTATGCAAACAAATATGCAAATATAATATTATATTGAAATGAAGTATAGCAGGTGAATCACAAGAATAACAGCTATACAAGGAAAATAAAGAAAGAAATCTCTGATATTTTTTTACTTCATTTCTTTACAAGAATAAAAGTAAAACAAGAAATCAAATGTAACAATTACAAAGCAAATGGAAAGCAAAGCATTTTTTTCCATATTATATATATATATATATATATATATATATATATATATATTGTTTTTGAGCTAACAAAAATAGGAAATGGCCCTAGAAAAGACTCCGAAGACGCAGTCAGGAAGATTTAAGGGGTTGGGGTCTGTCAGCTGACAGAGGAACACTATGTGCGTTTTGGCAATGCACTATGCACCATTGAGCTTGTTGCCTCGGCGATGTAGCTCAGTGGCGCACAATGCATTGTTGAAAGCTTAGGCACTCATTCTTGTTATGAGATTTCTAGTTCCTTATCTTCCTGTTATGAGATTCTAGTTCCTGTTTTGTTAGAAGCAATCCCTGAAATAGAGTTTTGGGGTCATGTTTTACTAGTTTCTATGCAAACATAAGCTTGACAAGAAACCACTGTCATCACAAATGGAAGACTAAGAATATTTTTCCTCTTTTTTTTTTTAGTGCAAGAAACTATTTATATATCAGATGACATAAAACCTCAAGCTCATCTTTTTTCTTTTGAATAAAATAATGGTTCGGACACTAGATGTCTATAATGTTATTTTGAGTTAAAACTACAAGTGTAGGTTATACTTAACACTTTTTTTTTAGTGTAGGAGTAGTTCAGATATTGGATGTTGAAACTGCCCATACTTCATCATTTTTTTTTGGAGAAATAGTGGTTTTGAGTCTCCAAACTGAAACATATGTTTTACACATTTAAATCAATTTGGAGGTTAAAAAACTATTGCCATTGTGGTAATTTAGCCTCTTCATGTTATGACCAAATTACAAAAATATCCTACTTGACTCCAAAGTCCAAACTATAATAAGGGCATTTTAGATATTTTTGATAAAAATTATTGAAGAGGTATTTAAGTGAAATCATCTAATTTTTTGAGAATATTCTCTATTTTATTGATTTTATTTTATTATAATACTAATATAAGTATTTCATTCGTAACATAGCAACTTCACTAGCCTATTTGAATGTAAATATATAAAATAGCAACATAAACCAACCATCAAATAAAGGTCTGTTGGCTTCATTATGTGTTAACATCTGTTATGGCCAAGTACTACCCAGAGTAAAATGCCACATGAGAGCTGTTCCGATGTTTTTTTTTTTTAAAATTGAATGAAACAATACATTTACATTTTTGCCTCAAGAAGGTTGCAATCAATTGAAGCTGCAATCAATTGAAGCTGTTAGATGTGAAATTATTGAAAGGCTGGGGTGGACGTCATTGAAATCATATTCAATATTCAAAAATCTTTTTATGGAGAAAAGATACACCATTGGCCACTTGATTTTACATCTAATGATAAAGGGGACATTGGATGAGGTGCCCTAGCTCGGCCCAAAATAGTATTGACTTGGGCCAATAAATTTGGCCTTAAAAGTTGGGCCCACTCTTGAAATCCAGGCCTGATGGCTAATCTAGGTCTGGCTTCAAGATCCGGTCTTTTTATTTTTTTTGTTTTATATGATTTTTTAAAAGTAAAGTTGATTTTTACCAGTAGGGTGAATCTAGGCCACCAAGCCAAAAGGCAAGCCAGCTAGGTCTAGGCCCTTAAGGTCATTGGATGAATTTTGGCCGGCCTTAGTCTAGCCTAAGCCCTACTGGTATCAAGGTTAAATGCCTTACTATAAAAAGGATGAAGTTTCTATAATGCTTAGGTTTTATGAAAACAAAATAAAGCCTCATCGCAAATCCTTGTTTGGAAAGTATTTTCTGCAACAAAAATCTCTATTAGGCCTCTAAAATCAATTTTCAACACCGACAATAAATTTTGAAACTAAAAAAATGTTTTTAGGTCTTACGGATTTTGAACATGGGCGAAATAAACAGTCTAGATAATTTGTTATAATACATATTATTTTTAGACCTTAAAATCTTATTTTTGTTCACAACCATAATGAGACGATCGATATAAAAAGTTTTCAATGCTTGAATGGTAATTTTGTATGAGTTATGAAGTGAGAGACTTAACTAATTTTGATATAGCTGCAGCCCTATCAAACCATTTTTCCATAGCAAAATTCAGGGATTTTTTAACTTGGAAAGAGTAATTCAAGACGGTGTTTGTCCTATGATCCTATCCATCATGGAAGATGTATTGCCCTTGCCCCCCACTTGGGCTTGTTTGGTTCGTATGGAAAAAAACTTACCAGAAACCATTTTCACAAAATGCCTCACCCCCTCTCCTTCTCTCAACCGCATACCCTCTCTCTTGGCATTCCCTCTGCAACTCTCAACCCTCTCTCTCTCTCTTTCCAACTCAAAGCTCACTTTATCACACAAAGCCCTAACCTCTCTCTCTTTCTCCCTGCTAATACTGAGCTTAACACACCACCCAAATTCCCAATATCTCCAAACGGATCCCTAACCTACCACATAGACCTAATTTTCCACAGCTACACCTCTTCTTTCTCTCTCTCTCTCTGCATAAGGACACCTCTGATTCAGATCAATGTGACCTTTCTCTCTCTATAATTGAACCCAAAGACCTTTCTAAGAGCAAGTTTTCAACACAAAACCTCTACATTTTTTAGCTAATGGACATGCCCATTGATGCTGACAACAACTGCAAATTTCTGAAGAGATGCACCCAATAAGGCAAATTGAAAGAAGGTAAGTTGTTTCAATCACACACTTTCTGAATTCAAATTTAAAGTCTGATATTCTTGAGAAACTCCATTGTGAACATTGATTCAAAATGGGATCTTTATCTGATACCAAAAAGGATTTGATAAAATGCCTCTAATGAGTTGGAAAGATTGGGACCTCCATGTACACAAATGCAAATGACATGATGCCTCTTCTCCTTTAATTTGAGAGAGAGAGAGAGAGAGAGAGAGAGAGAGAGAGAGAGAGAGAGAGAGAGAGAGAGAGAGAGAGAGAGAGAGAGAGAGAGAGAGAGAGA